CATTTTTCTCTTGATTGCTATCTCGAAATTTATTTATAGATTGAACGAAATGCAATATCACTAAAATTCATCGATATCTTATATTAATCAATATATGGCCGTATCAGTTAATATTCGATTACCATGGTCGGCTAATATTTCCCATCACTGAAAAGTTTCAATATGGTTTGTGCTTGTCATAATATTACAGTGATAATTATACGTCAAATAGCACTCTTTACTCCTGCTCGCCGTTGTACTGCGCATGTAGCACTTCTTATTGTATAAACCAGTTAATTATTCTCATAAGTTGGTAATAATTAAGAGACATAACCTTGGTAATTTGATAATCGTGAGTTTGTAAATTTAGAATATTTCCAGTCAGTGTTCTCTGTCAAACTTCCTGAAACATCACAGACAGGTTAATCTTCTTTCTGAGCAGCTTCAGGATATACACAATTAAGTTATGATTTCAAGTGTAACAGTTACATTGATATCCGTTCATCACGCTCATTCTCCGCCACGTACTCCGGCTTTATCCTGCAACAAGGATAATAAAGCCGGTTAAGTCACGTAGCAGGATTATAGGGTACTATAACGCTTGCGGAGGGGTACGAGGGGTACGAGGTAGTCGACCTTTGCTCAAATACCGTGGTACGGAACGAGATCAAAATAGAATTAATCTCCTCGCTGGTCGGAATAAGTAGTAACTAGTTTACTGCATTCTTTTAACATCGGGTTTAATCGTGTTTTATTATTGTTACTTCGTTTAGTGTTTGGAGTTTTTGTTGGTTTTGTTGCGAAGCTTGGGCATATATTAAATTAAATTATATCATATGTTTATATGCGAGGCTGATGACGTTGTCTGTTAAGTCTAATAACCAACCCTTATTTCTCCACATTATTCCGTTTCATTAGCACGTGACTATTTGACTAATAACACGTGACTAATAACACGTGACTAATAACACGTGACTAATATCACGTGACTAATAGCACGTGACTATTAGCACGTGTGTAGTAAAGTAGGATTAGGGTCAATTTAGTATGGTCAAGGGTTAAGTTAGGTTTTTAGTACAGTTTATATTATAGTTTAATAGTTAGTTCTTATAGTCCATAATTAGAGTAAAGTAATTTCGTAGGTTTTATATTGCAGCATCTTTTAGAATCCTTTTAGTGCTAGGTTCACTAATAGCACGTGACTAATAGCACGTGACTAATAGCACGTGACTAATAGCACGTGACTAATAGCACGTGACTAATAGCACGTGACTAATAGCACGTGACTAATAGCACGTGACTAATAGCACGTGACTAATAGCACGTGACTAATAGCACGTGACTATTTGACTAATAGCATGTGACTAATAGCACGTGACAGCGTTATCTACCAATAAGCTTATAGATTACAACCAGTAGTCAGTACTTACAACCATTTAACTTCAGAGCTTGCAATAACTTGTCCCTAGGCTTTTTGAATACATACATTTGGCAAACATAGTTAGCATTCTTGACGTCGGAAGAGATCACTATAATTTCAATAGTTGTAAGGCTACAAATTCCTAGCAAGATGAGACAGCTAGAACTGCTGGAGACCTCTGCGATTGCTTCCCCGGCCCTGATTGATAATAACTCTGTTATTGCACTACGTTTAATTTTATTAAACTTCGCAATACAGACTTGTTTATTAATTGTAGTTATAAATGGTACTATTAGCAATCAGTTATATTTTCACTTATATTTTCGGCTACACGAAACTATTTCCTCGTGGTGGATATGTCTCCCCAGTGCCTACTCCCCAGTGCTTACTCCCCAGTGCCTACTCCCCAGTGCCTACTCCCCAGTGCCTACTCCCCAGTGCTTACTCCCCAGTGCCTACTCCCCAGTGCCTACTCCCCAGTGCCTACTCCCCAGTGCCAACTCCCCAGTGCCTACTCCCCAGTGCTTACTCCCCAGTGCCTACTCCCCAGTGCCAACTCCCCAGTGCCTACTCCCCAGTGCTTACTCCCCAGTGCTTACTCCCCAGTGCTTACTCCCCAGTGCCTACTCCCCAGTGCCTACTCCCCAGTGCCTACTCCCCAGTGCCTACTCCCCAGTGCCTACTCCCCAGTGCCTACTCTCCAGTGCTTACTCCCCAGTGCCTACTCCCCAGTGCCTACTCCCCAGTGCCTACTCCCCAGTGCCTACTCCCCAGTGCCTACTCCCCAGTGCCTACTCCCCAGTGCCTACTCCCCAGTGCCTACTCCCCAGTGCCTACTCCCCAGTGCCTACTCCCCAGTGCCTACTCCCCAGTGCCTACTCCCCAGTCCCTACTCCCCAGTCCCTACTCCCCAGTGCCTACTCCCCAGTGCCTACTCCCCAGTGCCTACTCCCCAGTGCCTACTCCCCAGTGCCTACTCCCCAGTGCCTACTCCCCAGTGCCTACTCCCCAGTGCCTACTCCCCAGTGCCTACTCCCCAGTGCCTACTCCCCAGTGCCTACTCCCCAGTGCCTACTCCCCAGTGCCTACTCCCCAGTGCCTACTCCCCAGTGCCTACTCCCCAGTGCCTACTCCCCAGTGCCTACTCCCCAGTGCCTACTCCCCAGTGCCTACTCCCCAGTGCTTACTCCCCAGTGCCTACTCCCCAGTGCTTACTCCCCAGTGCCTACTCCCCAGTGCCTACTCCCCAAACCCGATCAGAGGTTGTTTCTTTCTAATTGGTGCTCTTTAACTTTGCAACCTTTCTAGAGACACTGTCTGCTATTGCTCTCTAAGTCAAGGATGGTAAATGCGTTTTGGGGAGACTACGCGTAGGTACTACGCATACGTATTTCCCGATGATAAATTACGTATTTCAAATTAAGTTGCAGTAACGCGCGAAGATCTATATATGAATATTACATCACAGTATATGAAATCGTGGCCTAATTGGTTAATACGCTAGTTCCATATCAGCAGATTGCGAGTTCGAGACTCGGATAGGATCATTTTTTCCCATACTTTTTGGCAATTATGAATAACTAATGAATAACTAAAAATACCTCTGTAATATAACTAGCAAGGTGAAATGAAATCGTCATCCGGCCGAAAAATTTATTATAGCCGTTTCAAAAGTTTATTATAGCCGTTTTTTCTTTCCAGGCTGGATTCCTAGTCACTTTTTAAACTTATGCCACTGGGAAGTCCGTGTTAATCCGGTAACCGGTTTCAAAATTCAAGCAAGAGAGACTTGTGATCTTAGTCTGCGAATATTGTAATAGATAAAAATGCACTGGAACTGGGTCTCGGTTGAAAGGCATAACTGCTTTATAACCTGAGAAGCTCTGCTCTGCAGCAGACCGACTGATTGGTTGCAGTTCAGCATAAGAATAGCAAGTCGCTGCAGCGTTTTCATTCGAGCACCGTGAAGTCTCCAAAACGACTGTCAGTATTGCTATATTAATATACCACTGGGCCAGCGACGCACGCGCAAATATCACTAATCTGTAATCACGTATTTCGAAAGAGATACGCGCGTATTTTGAGCAATTTTACCATCAAAGAATTTAAGCGCCAAATTTTGCCTATTTCACGTATTTCTTAGAATTTTTGAATACGGCGTATTTACAGGCGATTTTTTGACGTATTTACCATCGATGCTCTAAGTTAGTAATACTACACAAGTTTACAGGTAGGTAATAGGTTATGAGGAGTAGTGTTATTAATAATCCCAATACCTCTCTGTTAATAGCTGGCTAATACCTCTCTGTTAATGTTTCCTAGCTCCTGTGGACTGAGTGGTAGAAGGGATCTTTATATCCACACATCTCATTCGTTCAGATAGTAACTGTAACTACTATACCTGGTACTATACCTGTATCACTTGAGCTGTGACAGTTAAGGAGTAATATACTAGATTCTCACAAGCCTAGTGGTCAGTGGTGGTAGAGCAACAGTTGTAAAGTAATATGCAGGCTAGTAGGAAGGGGGGTGCAGCTGTTTTTAGCCGCAAATAACAGCTGACCCCCCTCCCCCCGGTCTGGCTGGGTTAGTTGATAGTTAGTAGATACTATATTGTATTATCCGGTCCGTGTCCTTGGTGCACACTTAGCACTGTTGGGTATTAGCTAGTTTTATTGCCAGAAGTAACTTCGTTATCGCTCCGTCTGTGTTTTTAGTCGTGCTTTTGTTCGTGAAATTCTATTATGCTCGGAAACTTTTATAATTATTATTATTTATAAATATTAACGTTATGTAACGTTTATGTTTTGCTTAAAGTCTGTGATTCAATTTTTAAAGTACGTGTAGAATCATGAAATACTATTCTTCAATAGCTTATAACTACATCCTACTGGCTACTACTTGAAACTGCTGCCTCACTTCCTAATGACCTCCAATTAATCTGACAAATTAATTACATCCCTCACCTGCAGTATCTACCTGATCTTGCTTACTGTAACACGTGCTAGATACACTCACTAACACCGCGTGTTAATGCACGTGCACTTTACGCCATTGCACGTGCACTTTACCCCATTGCACGTGCACTTTACGCCATTGCACGTGCACTTTGTCACTAAGAATACTAGTTGTCGGCACCCTGTTTGAAGGTTGTCCCTTTTACCCATGGTCCGGATATAGGTGTCTATAGTCCTGTGTGAGGGAGACACTTTGCAAAGTATAATATGTGAAATGTGGTATTTTGTGTTTTTCTTCTGTAGTTATTCTTGCGTTTAGTGTGTTAATTTAGTGTGTTAACCGTTTGCTTATTAGATAGTTAGAGGGCTGGTGAAAGGTTGGAAGTAACATTGTAGTTTAGGTTTGTAACGTTAGCTTACTACATTTATTGTATTTTAAAGTTTCTTATTCTTCTCAATTCACCAATATACAGTTGTAGATTTTACCCCGGTTTTAGATTTTAAATTTTGTTCACTCACTACTTGAACCAGCAATTTAACATTTATAACTGAACCTTAAATTAAACTTGTTATTTTAAACTTGTTATTTTCGCAGCAATTTAACATTTATAGCTGAACCTTAAATTAAACTTGTTGTTTTTCAGACGGTAATAGAGAAGTTTAGGGGAGCCGACACAGTAGTACGGGAACTAAGGTTACAGAAAGTAGAGCGGAGAAAGGAAGAGGTAAATATTACTTTGTAACTAGCTTATGATCTGCTTTATCTGTAGTAGAATCTCTAACCCAGTACTACAACCTCCGCAGACTGTGTCAAATGTTGACATGTTTCTGCTGTCTATAACTCAGTCACTATTCTAACAACCGTCACGGAGTGCGGTTGGTTGGCGGTTCCGGCCTGTGTCCTCCCCACGAACAGCCTCTTCTCCTCCCAGTCCGTGAAGCTGCAGATCACTCTTCCTTTTTGTACTGGTGTAATTTGTTATTGTTCTTTGTTGTCTCTTTCTGTCTGTCTTGGAAAATAACCCATTTTCTGACAATTTGTCACTTTTTTGTATGGATATTATAAATATTAAAGATATACTGCGCATCCCCATTTTATGCACAGGTTCTATCTAGCTACATTATTCACATGCAATGAATAATCCTCTGATTCGCATATTATTCTCATATTATTCTCATATTATTCCCATATTACTCGCCCACTTCCACGTCACTCCCAGTCTACTAGGGACGCTCTGTCTCTCTGTCTGTAGTACACTAAATACAGTGTGTCCCTGTGTCTGCCACCAAGTGAGGTTGCTGCCTACTGTGAGGGTGCTGCCTACTGTGAGGGTGCTGCCTACTGCTGCGAGGGTGCTGCGTGCTGCGTACTACCTATTGCTGCCTGCTGTGTAGTGTAGACTGTATATTCACACCTCCTCCTCCTCCTCCAGTTCACTTCCTCTTTTAGTTCCCTCTCAAACTTGCAGAACTCTTTGTGTGTATTAGAGCTGTAGGTGCAGTGTTTACTGTTTATTTGTTCAGATCTTGGTTATCTTCCCCGTTTTATATTAAAAGTTATCCTCATGACTTCATGATAATGTTTTTGGATTACCACTCCAAGTTCCGAATCAGGCTTATAATTTATAAATATGTTACCTGGTGTTTTAGTTTTGCCCTTGTCTAGCCAACATTACTTCGTCTGTCACAGAGCTAACAAGCTACTGGTTTAATTGTTCTTGATTAGATCTTGTTTGTCCGGTAGACACGTTGATATTGATTAATTTGTTTATTATTTAACCCAATGGAGGTACTCTAACTCGATACTATTCTAACATCACTAAATACTAATAACTCGACATTAATCAGTATTCAGTGGGGGGGGGGGGGGGGGGGGTACACACAGTGGTAACTTCACTTCTAAATGGGTGCACATTTCCTGATTTGATTGGAGGCTGGCATACACTACAAGACATGTGTAATTACATTAGATATACATAAGATGGTCAGAACAGGGCAGGGCGTGGAGGATTTAGGATGATTACATTACTTCTCCTTCTACCTGACATACACTACCTGTATCCTTAATCGCACTACCTCCTCCTTCTACCTTCTCCTTCTACCTGACATACACTACCTGTATCCTTAATCGCACTACCTTCTCCTTCTACTTTCTCCTTCTACCTGACATACACTACCTGTAACCTTAATCGCACTACCTCCTCCTTCTACCTTCTCCTTCTACCTGACATACACTACCTGTATCCTTAATCGCACTACCTTCTCCTTCTACCTCCTCCTTCTACCTGACACACACTACCTGTAACCTTAATCGCACTACCTCCTCCTTCTACCTTCTCCTTCTACCTGACATACACTACCTGTATCCTTAATCGCACTACCTCCTCCTTCTACCTTCTCCTTCTACCTGACATACACTACCTGTATCCTTAATCGCACTACCTCCTCCTTCTACCTTCTCCTTCTACCTGACATACACTACCTGTATCCTCAATCGCACTACCTCCTCCTTCTACCTTCTCCTTCTACCTGACATACACTACCTGTATCCTCAATCGCACTACCTCCTCCTTCTACCTTCTCCTTCTACCTGACATACACTACCTGTAACCTTAATCGCACTACCTCCTCCTTCTACCTTCTCCTTCTACCTGACATACACTACCTGTATCCTTAATCGAACTACCTCCTCCTTCTACCTTCTCCTTCTACCTGACATACACTACCTGTATCCTTAATCGCACTACCTTCTCCTTCTACCTTCTCCTTCTACCTGACATACACTACCTGTATCCTTAATCGCACTACCTCCTCCTTCTACCTTCTTCTTCTACCTGACATACACTACCTGTATCCTTAATCGCACTACCTCTTCCTTCTACCTTCTCCTTCTACCTGACATACAGTACCTGTATCCTTAATCGCACTACCTTCTCCTTCTACCTTCTCCTTCTACCTGACATACACTACCTGTATCCTTAATCGCACTACCTCCTCCTTCTAGCTTCTTCTTCTACCTGACATACACTACCTGTATCCTTAATCGCACTACCTCCTTCTTCTACCTTCTCCTTCTACCTGACATACACTACCTGTATCCTTAATCGCACTACCTCTTCCTTCTACCTTCTCCTTCTACCTGACATACACTACCTGTATCCTTAATCGCACTACCTTCTCCTTCTACCTTCTCCTTCTACCTGACATACACTACCTGTATCCCTAATCGCACTACCTCCTTCTTCTACCTTCTCCTTCTACCTGACATACACTACCTGTATCCTTAATCGCACTACCTCTTCCTTCTACCTTCTTCTTCTACCTGACATACACTACCTGTATCCTTAATCGCACTACCTCCTTCTTCTACCTTCTCCTTCTACCTGACATACACTACCTGTATCCTTAATCGCACCACCTTCTCCTTCTACCTTCTCCTTCTACCTGACATACACTACCTGTATCCTTAATCGCACTACCTCCTCCTTCTACCTTCTTCTTCTACCTGACATACACTACCTGTATCCTTAATCGCACTACCTCCTTCTTCTACCTTCTCCTTCTACCTGACATACACTACCTGTATCCTTAATCGTACTACCTTCTCCTTCTACCTTCTCCTTCTACCTGACATACACTACCTGTATCCTTAATCGCACTACCTCCTCCTTCTACCTGACATACACTACCTGTATCCTTAATCGCACTACCTCCTTCTTCTACCTTCTCCTTCTACCTGACATACACTACCTGTATCCTTAATCGCACTACCTCCTTCTTCTACCTTCTTCTTCTACCTGACATACACTACCTGTATCCTTAATCGCACTACCTCCTTCTTCTACCTTCTCCTTCTACCTGACATACACTACCTGTATCCTTAATCGCACTACCTCTTCCTTCTACCTTCTTCTTCTACCTGACATACACTACCTGTATCCTTAATCGCACTACCTCCTTCTTCTACCTTCTCCTTCTACCTGACATACACTACCTGTATCCTTAATCGCACTACCTTCTCCTTCTACCTTCTCCTTCTACCTGACATACACTACCTGTATCCTTAATCGCACTACCTCCTCCTTCTACCTTCTTCTTCTACCTGACATACACTACCTGTATCCTTAATCGCACTACCTCCTTCTTCTACCTTCTCCTTCTACCTGACATACACTACCTGTATCCTTAATCGCACTACCTCCTCCTTCTACCTGACATACACTACCTGTATCCTTAATCGCACTACCTCCTTCTTCTACCTTCTCCTTCTACCTGACATACACTACCTGTATCCTTAATCGCACTACCTCCTTCTTCTACCTTCTTCTTCTACCTGACATACACTACCTGTATCCTTAATCGCACTACCTCCTTCTTCTACCTTCTCCTTCTACCTGACATACACTACCTGTATCCTTAATCGCACTACCTTCTCCTTCTACCTTCTCCTTCTACCTGACATACACTACCTGTATCCTTAATCGCACTACCTTCTCCTTCTACCTTCTCCTTCTACCTGACATACACTACCTGTATCCTTAATCGCACTACCTCCTCCTTCTACCTTCTCCTTCTACCTGACATACACTACCTGTATCCTTAATCGCACTACCTCCTCCTTCTACCTTCTCCTTCTACCTGACATACACTACCTGTATCCTTAATCGCACTACCTTCTCCTTCTACCTTCTCCTTCTACCTAACATACACTATCTGTATCCTTAATCGCACTACCTCCTCCTTCTACCTTCTCCTTCTACCTGACATACACTACCTGTATCCTTAATCGCACTACCTCCTCCTTCTACCTTCTCCTTCTACCTGACATACACTACCTGTATCCTCAATCGCACTACCTCCTCCTTCTACCTTCTCCTTCTACCTGACATACACTACCTGTATCCTTAATCGCACTACCTCTTCCTTCTACCTTCTCCTTCTACCTGACATACACTACCTGTATCCTTAATCGCACTACCTCCTCCTTCTACCTTCTCCTTCTACCTGACATACACTACCTGTATCCTTAATCGCACTACCTCCTCCTTCTACCTTCTCCTTCTACCTGACATACAGTACCTGTATCCTTAATCGCACTACCTTCTCCTTCTACCTTCTCCTTCTACCTGACATACACTACCTGTATCCTTAATCGCACTACCTCCTCCTTCTACCTTCTCCTTCTACCTGACATACACTACCTGTATCCTTAATCGCACTACCTTCTCCTTCTACTTTCTCCTTCTACCTGACATACACTACCTGTAACCTTAATCGCACTACCTCCTCCTTCTACCTTCTCCTTCTACCTGACATACACTACCTGTATCCTTAATCGCACTACCTCCTCCTTCTACCTTCTCCTTCTACCTGACATACACTACCTGTATCCTTAATCGCACTACCTTCTCCTTCTACCTTTTCCTTACCTGACATACACTACCTGTATCCTTAATCGCACTACCTCCTCCTTCTACCTTCTCCTTCTACCTGACATACACTACCTGTATCCTTAATCGCACTACCTCCTCCTTCTACCTTCTCCTTCTACCTGACATACACTACCTGTATCCTTAATCGCACTACCTTCTCCTTCCACCTTCTCCTTCTACCTGACATACACTACCTGTATCCTTAATCGCACTACCCATTCCTTCTACCTTCTCCTTCTACCTGACATACACTACCTGTATCCTTAATCGCACTACCTCCTCCTTCTACCTTC